AAACCAGTACCAAGGGCGACAGAAACAAGAAACAAAAAGCGAAAAACAACTTGGCTGCCCACTTTCCCACTTTCCTTCCCCTTGAAGTCAATGGCAAAGGCAGCATGCCAGGCATAGTTTAGGCTGCAAAATTTATGGTGTTAATTCTAAGTACGAGAGTGTGTGTATGTGAGCGAAGGTCCTGGGGCGAAACTTAATGTGTATGGGTCTCAGTGTGTCTGTGTGTGTGTGCCAGAGTGTCTCAATTCGGGACCCTCAGCATACCACTTTGCACCATGAGCGGCCATAAGCTCCCAGCAAATCCGAAATGTCTTCTCACATGGCGGTGAAAAAGGCAAGATATTAAATGCTGTTTAAGTGGGAACAGGATTGTTGAACTACCATATTCGGTATCATAGGTTTGTTATATACAAATTATCTGTAAACGAAATGATTTATTATGACATCTAGCAAAAGTCCTTGAAATTTACTCAATAGAGGATTTAGTTTTTAAGGACATTCACTGCCGACAGCCTACACAATTTTATTTAAAATTAATTGAGTAAAGCTTGTAACTCCTCCAAATTGATTGAATGACCAACGAAGTGAAACTTTTAAGAGGGCAAAACACATGAGTATAATCCCCATAATAAACACAAATATTACGGATTTTCGGAGCTGAGAAGTGATGACACCAGCTAATCCATCATGGCTCGTGCATCATAGCCGGCCTTGAAATCATCCCAACTGGCCGACAAAAACTTCAAGACCCTCATTCCCCAGGGTATTCGTCTGCGTAGTCAACTCTATATTTATACTTTCCTCATATCCTTTTCATTCTGCTGCCCACTTTTCCAGCTTCCAGCTTTAAGAGGCTGGGAAAGAAGTTCAGGTTCAGCAGACAGGAGGATACGTGGTTGTCGTCGCAGTCATCGGTGATTTATTGTTTCGAAAGTTATCCTTGGTACTGGCCTGCTGCCTCTCTTTCTCCACCTCTTTGGGTCGTTGAAATGGCATAAAACTTTATTGAAATCCCAGCCACATCCGCCTCATTGGGAGCGCATCAATCAAGGCCCAGTAACATATGTCGACAGATTGGTTAAATGCCACGCCCACTGCGGCAGAGCCAGCTTATAAAGCTCATAAAGAGGCCCAAATGGAAAATTGACTTTGAGTCACATAAATTAGAAAGCCATAATGAAGCTGGCAACCGGATCGAGGCGGACTGCAGTAAAATAATAAAAAGTGCGGCAAAAAGCAAACAAAGATAGAGAGAAATCTGCTCTTAAAGTTAAACGCCTGGAGCGGGTCGGGAAGGTCATTGGGGGTCGGGTGAAGCCAAGCGCAGCTGCAAACAATGGCATTTTAAAAGCTCAGGGCAGGACGAGCGCCGGCTTTTTGCTCGACCTCAAAGCCACAGACAGACAGAAAGGAGAGGGGAGCGAAAAATTCTGAGGGGATCACTCATACATGAAGAAAAAAAGATTAAAAAAATGGAAAACGGTATACCATAAACTATTGTTACTAAAAGTTTGTCTTAAAAAGATAAAAAAAAAGAAGACAAAATTCCATCAAACGCAAAATTTTAAACCTAAATTTGACAACAACGTATAGAATATATTTTCCCGTGTTGATAGCGAGTAATGCGCGGACGGCGAACCTTTAAGGACAAACAAGGCAGCACGACGGTGACACAGCGGCACACATGGCGTATGCGTAATAACATTTTGCGTTACATTTGCTTTTTATTGCATACCGCAAGGCGGATACCAGCCCTCGTGCTCCTGTTACCGCTCCTTTGTGTCCTGCGGCCGCCTTAATTTCCGTGCCATGAGGCACGGTAAATGTAAATGTCATACGGCTAATGCGAAAACTTTAAACTGCCCAACCAAATGGGGACCTTCCGGGCCCCAAATAAGAACTTTCCCGAATTCGTCGCGTCATCCGGGCATTATCGCACATAATAATTGCCAGTAGCGACTAACGAATGGCCATGTCCTTATGCCTCGAGTGTCCTTTTTTGAGTGATTTAAGGGCATTTGTTGTTTCATTATCCTGACTAACTTTTCTGACTTTAACCACAATTTAACTAAACTAACATTATAGTGTGCTAGTATACAGCTTAAGATATCGATTCAAGTTAAAGAAACTTGAAGAAGAGAGGACTTAAAGCCAGTTAGCTTGCCATCAGACTACTTCCCCAAAAACTGGTCAAAGGCTGACAGGCTCCATTGGGCAATCAAACATGGCCCACAATCAGTAGTGGCGGACCATCCTCTCCTGCACAGAAAGGAATCCGACTGACGAATGTCAAGCACAGCCATTGGCAATGGGTAATTGGGAAGGCAAAGAGGCAGAGGGACTGGCAAAAAAGCAGCAAATTGTGTCATTTTCCGTTTATCTGTATCTCAGAGTCTGTAAGTTTGCTGCTCAAACTCCCATTGAATAAGGCTGGGAACGTGGGAAAAGTGGAGATGGAGCTGGAGGAGTGGAATGCCACTGAAACGGAAGCCGCGATTAAATACAAATAAGGCATTAAGTGCAAAGGCGCTGAGGCGCATAATACAAATTGCGTCGATTGGGGAGCGACGGGAAAGTCTCGATTATTGGGTGGAAGCTCCTCCCAGCTGTGGGTGGATGAAAGTTTGTCTGGGTACTCCTGATTGCCATTTTGCTGTCAGTTTCATTCGGGAAAATTCCCGCTCAAAAAGGGGACAAAAACTATGCAGTCTCTGTTAACTTGAGTAATTTTAATGGAAAGTTAAGTCATTAAAAAATATATAAGAAAGTCTTGAAAACAATTACAGACAGAGTTATTGCTAGAAACTTGCCTTTAAGGCGTTTTTAAAGTATCCTTTAAAACCTAATTAGGACTCCAACATCCTTTTCTTGGGGTTTTCAGCTTCATCAGATGTCAACGCCAAAAACTCTCAACTCCTTGGAGAGGGTGAGTCCTAGTCAGCTTGTTGATGACAATTTTTATACATTCTAGCCATTGCCCCGCCGTTCGCCTACCAATTTATGCTCGGCAATTGCTCAGCCCATAAGTAGGCAACGCTCTTTATTCCATCCGCTGCTATGCAAACTGCCTGCAGTAAAGGACAAGAACTGAAAGGACAGGGCACGACAGGATGCGAAGGAGTGGATGAGGCAGACAAAGGCCATTACACTGCGGCTGGACGCGCTTCGTGGGGCACTATATACAGATATATATATACTCGTAAGTATATATAGAAAAAACAGGGGGACTGGCAATTGAAAGTGGTCTGCTTAGTGGAAAAAGAAATCCGCAATGGGCTTTAAAAATTTATGAATGTTTTCCGTGCGTACTCCAAAGCTCTGGCGGGGATTGAGATCAAATCCAAGGCCGAGTCAATGGGTGCAAGTATGCCAATTTATATTTAGCCTCCCATCGAGGGGCCCTTCACCCACAGACAAGCGCCCTTCTTTCACTATGATGTTGTATTCTCTGATTTTGCTTTCTTTTTTCACAAGCTCGGCCAGCTGCACAATTTTGCGGTTCATTTAATATTTTTTCGTGTTGTTTACCTGGCCGCTTGGCCAATTCTGTGTGGGCCAGGTCGAGTGGCTGCCAGCGACCAGCGGCCAATGGCATTAGCATCAGCATCGGCATTAGTATTAGTCTTAGTATTAGTATTAGCTCTGCCATTAGCCAGCTCTGCCGCGGGCTCTTTGAAGCTAACGAGCTGCCATGGCAATTAGGGCGGGGAGCCTGAGTCCTCCTACCTCCTCCCCGTCGACAGCTAGGTGTGCCCTCTGGTTTTTCCATTTATATTTTATTGCCAAGAATTGTAAGCTGCCAAAAAAAAGTTGCGCCAAGTCATCACAATATGAATAAGTCAACGTTCGGTTTGCACTTCGATTCGATGGCCCAGAGCAGCAGACTCGCAGCACTGAGAACAAAGTTTAGGACCTTCTTTTGAATCTCGAGAGGTTTACAGGAAAGAAACTTGAAACTTAAACTTGTTATAAATTATCCTTATCTTTCTCATAACCAATTCCCCATTATGTCCTTCTCATAATTTAAAAAGTTAAGAACTAACATAAAACTATTTGTTCTCAGAGGAGAAAGAAAAATCAAAACTAATATTCTGGCTTTAAGCAGTCAGTTCCATTTAGTCACCTTTGTTTCGCTCAGTGCACGTGTGTGTGTGGGCATCTGTAGGGGTAGGTGTCAAGCACCTGAACGCGGCTCAACTCAACTCAAATCAACTCGGCGCCCTGTCAATAATGTGTATGCATTCAGTTTGTGTGTGGAATCAACAGGGCGTGCAGTTCCAATTAAATCCAAGCATTCAATTACTGAAAAGGCGACAAATGCACACACCTCCATATAGAATTTTTTGCAGTTCGGGATGAGAGCATGAAATCCACATTCAAGCGAAGTTTTTCCATCACGGCTATAAAAAATCGAACAAAAAAGTGGAAATTGGCGAAACTTTACCGGGGGTGGTAGTTGAAGGAAGTATTGGCTTACAAGCTTTCAGGACAGGCTTTATAAATTTAAGGAACACTAAATTCTTAAATCAGCAGTTTCAGGGTAATCAGAATACAATGTACTGCTGGAGGGAGCAGTACTAGTTTTTCCCTCGAAACTATTCTGGTTGATGGACGCTTCGTGTTGAATTGATTAAAATTGACAGCCGCGAGTGGAGAACAGAGTCGAAATAAATCTGGAGGATGGCATCCGAATGGAAACAATGCCAGCCGTGCTTAGACAAAAATATCCAGCTGAGGGATATGCCCCAGCATTTTTTATGCCATTGTTGTTCAGATGCCAAACGAGTTCCATATGCGGATGTTTTTCATTCAGAACAGGCGGAAAAATATCCGTAAGGGTGCCATGTGTCTATGTGGCAGCGGAAAATTCATTTTAGATGTCCAATGGAAAAACAGAGCAAAAACGGATGGGCCCCAACTGATTTCCTGTCCCCATTCCGGAATATTGCTTTTTTTAAAAACATTTTCGAAGCCTTTTTTTAGGGCAATAAGTAAAAACTTTATTTTTTTTTAATTCGAAAGAATCTACACAGGTAGCAAGATTCAACCATTTCTGTGCCCAACAAGTCGATGCCATATAAATGATTTTTCTTTAAGAAGTCCTGGGCAAAGGATCCTTGCAGGCATCCCTTGATGCATTGGCATCCGAATATATCACAAGCTGCCTTGCCACAATATGTTCCCACGAGCGGTTCGCCATTGGCACAAATCGGGACTTTGCAGCCACTGCCATTACTCTCGGCTCCCACTGCACCGCAGACCCCTCCGCGGATCTTAAAGTTGAGGATCGCCACTGAGGTGCAGCAAACGGAACAAACTCCGCTTATATATGCCAACCCGAAAACCACGATTATAGCCAGCCTCATGTCGCGGGATAACTGAAGGGTTCCACCTTAAAGAAGCTGGTATTTATGGACAGATTCTATTTGAACTTGGTAAGAGCAAACACCTTTATTGAGTTATGATCATCGACATTCTTGCTTTCTGCAGGTTTCAGGTTTCGTTTTATTTATGTTTAGAGATCTGTGTTTGTAGAGAGGTGAGTAATTCACAAGTTGCAAACGATGCCTCAGTGCTGATCAACAAACAACCGAAGAGTCACAGTGTTTCTGTGTATTACCAAGAACTGCATGAAGCAATCTTTAACATATTTTCTTTACTTTAACATTGAATTCGCTACTACGAGCTTTTTGGCTAAATATAACTTAAGCAGATGCCAAGAGCAGTCCTAAAATAAAAGCTGACTTCGATCGAGTAATTCTTGAGCACAAAGTTGCGCTGGCAGGCGCATATAAAAAACTGTGGCTCACACTCACGTCCATACAGCCAGAAACATAAAATGTGGGCACTGATTACATTTGCATATTACGTATACGACCGGGCTATCGATGCAAGGGTTAGCCTGTGCTCTGTTTTCCAGAGGAACGAAGTGTGTTTACGCAAGGAATTTAATTTCCAACTTTGGCTCTGGCCAGGCGGTGCCCGAGGAAAGTTCGTGTCGGATAAACTTTGTCCTGCCGGTGGGCCACTGATCTAATAAAAAGCCTGAGCGGACCACGACCGGGCGCCATGTGTGTGACACTTGCGGAGCAGCCAGCTACCGGGATTATGCAGCTGCAGAGCGAACTTTAAATTATGTAATTCAACACGTTGCCGAAGGGGGTGAGGGAAGGTGAACGGGCTGGCAAATGGGCAACAGGCAACAGGCATCAGGCAACGAGCAACGCGCAGGGAGCAACATGCAACATGCAACGAACAACCAGTGGACTAAAGAACATGCACACACACACGAGGCACGTAGAACGTACAAGTACACTTGGGAAAACTTTGACCACAAACTATTACAACGGTGTCTTTAAAGTGCAGCATTCCAATTCGTAAAACTCTTTCAGTTTTCTCCTTTAATTATAAAATATAAATATTGATAGGAATAAGTTGATGATAAGGAAGTAAAAAGCACTATTTTTTTTTATCTGTGCCCGCATAAATTGTGGCCCCGTCCCAATACCGCTGCTCGCCTTGTCGATGGAAGAATATGCCCCACCTGGGATCCACGAATTTCAATTAACGTGCCAACACGAACGAGTTGCTCCCCGTGGCGCTCACCAGCCAATTCTGCACCACCACCTGCTTGATGGTACGCAATAAATTTCCGAAAAAAACGTTGAGAGAAAAAACACAATCCATACCGTAAAAACCACCCACGTGGGAGTTAAGGTGTCTCAAAATACCCTACTTATCGCAAAATGCTGTAATCCCCGTGCAATATATATTTCCAATTTCTGTAGGACTCACATCCTCGTTGCACTTTTGAGTTTATTTTAATCTGAAAAGCGATTAAAACGTGACAAAGCGATTTCATTCAGCCCAGCCACGCCCACTGCCGCCTGAAAGATTGGCAGAAATTTATATAAATTTTTTTTTCTGCTGTTTGGGGAAATGCTCTTCTGCTAAAAGCGATTCTATCTAAATTGCAATGCGAATGAAAATCATTTATAAGAGCTGAATAAAAACCAAACAGAAAGACAAATCGTGGCACAGATATGATTGGATTTTCTGCGAAACAACAAATAAGTGGAATTAATGGCAGATAAGGATGTTAAGATTTTCGATTAAAGGAAAAAACAACTTGGTCAGGACAAGCTTAAATAATATTCTTCACCCCTACCGAAAATGATTTCCTTGCCCAAAACTTGACCACTCCTCAAATGGCTTTAGGGCGTCCATAGATGGAATTTCGATTAGTTCCATATTAAAACAATATTCGAGGTACTTTAAAAAATTAGCTTTTCTGATGGCCTGTGATTTTAGATAAAAATTTTTTTTTTTTTTTTTTTTTTTTTTTTTTTTTTTTTTTTTTTTTTTTTTTTTTTTTTTTTTTTTTTTTTAAATTTTTTTTTTTTTTTTTTTTTTTTATAATTATTATTATTATTTTTTTTTTTTTTTTTTTTGGTTGGGGGGGTTTTTTTTTTTTTTTTTTTTTTTTTTTTTTTTTTTTTTTTTTTTTTTTTTTTTTTTTTTTTTTTTTTTTTTTTTTTTTTGGGTTGGGGGGGGGGGTGTGTTTTTTTTTTTTTTTTTTTTTTTTTTTTTTTTTTTTGGGGGGGGGGGGGGGGTTTTTTTTTTTTTTTTTTTTTTTTTTTTTTTTTTTTTTTTTTTTTTTTTTGGGGTTTTTTTTTGGGGGGGGGGGGGGGGGGGGGGGGGGGGGGGGGGGGGGGGGGGGGGGGGGGGGGATGTCTTCTCTTCCTTTTTTTCTTTTTTAATATAATATATTTTTTTAGAACCCCCTCTTTTTTTTTTATATCTTTTTAATAATTACCTTTTAAAAACCTGAATATAACCTCATTGGGTGAACGAACTGAATGGCTTGCGGCAGGATCTGCGTGCTGAGGTGTTGCATGTGCCTCGAAAATATATATAAAAGGCAAACGTGCGGGTGCTAAGCAAACACACACACACCCACTCTCACAAGGGAAAGGACATTCAGGATAACACACACACACACGCACACACATACACCGGTTGGGAAAGTCAGGCAGCTAAGCTTATTTTACAAACGCCAAAGGCTGACTTGAAAGTGAGCTTAATAGGCGACGTGAGAGGAACTTTGTGCCCAAGAAACGAGCGGTTGAATGACTTACTCCGCCATCTTCCCCGAAGTCCTTTGAACCCCTCTTAACACATTTCCTCTGCCAATCTCGCTGTATATATGTATGCAATATCATTGGATTAGGGCGATTATCTTTCTCAAATATCATTTTGCACGAATGCCAACAATGTCTAAATTTCCTGCGATTATATTTAAGGTGCCCTGTGACTCTGGGCGCAGATTTGGCCACATGGATGGGGGCATGGTCGTTCTGCAGACCGCACACAAATGTTGCAGGTGTGCGGTTGCGTGCGCTTTTGTGGTTGCCAAAGGACCAACGAGCACCATCCTCTTTTGCACCCACTAACACACAGGCAAAAAATATGGCAAACTAAAATAAAAGTCAATGGTTCTACACTTTTTGAGAGTATTAAAAGTAGAACAAATTGCAACAACCATATAAAAACATAACAATTCACATTAGTTATGGTTTTTAAAATCAAATGGAGTATTTTGCATGCCTTTTTCTTAATTTTAGACAGCAGTATTTAGTTGCTGTGCAAAACATGAGCCCAACTACTTTCACGTTGCTGGCTATTTACTTTTATGGCTTGTTTGCCAGCTCGTGAAAAGTTTCGGGCCGCACGCCCAAGTGACCCATTAAACGAATTGAAAATGAACAACAGCTCGACCAGAACTACAGAAACTCCTTAAACCCGATGATAGGGCTTCTCCCCAACTCGGCTATGTACCACGACGCGTATGTGTAATAAATTTTGATTGAGTTGCACTGCATTGCAGCTTAGAGTATGAGAGGCCAACGAGTGCTGGGCGAAGTCACATCAGATCGAGATTGCTGGCTAAAGTTGTGGTCATTGCGGTCCAACGGATTTCATTGAATTCACCGCCCTGCAGAATCACAAAAATCCCAATATGCCACGCCAATGGAGGAACTTTGCCAGCCAGAAAACAGAAAACTTTACCCATAAGCACAAGTATGGCAAAACAGAGCAAACCAAACACACAAAACACAGAAAAAAACAAACAAATAAAATCACAAACTCGTGCCAAACAACTGGCAAACGGAATAACAAAAACGTTTGCCATTCACCATTCGAGGCTCTCGTGGAGGCAACGTGGCGTATACGCAATATGCAATTAACTCGACCATTTCCTTTCGGTTATGTTTCACTTTTGCGCTGGAACAGGTGCAAATTGAAAATATGTTGCCAATTGATGTTAATTAAATTCATATTTCTGCACTTTCAGACCCGAAAGTGCTTCGTTTCCTTGAGTAATAATAATATAAGCGAATAAATTATGGCGGCTACATTGACGTAAGGGTTTTACAAATATGCTATGTGAATTGTGACATGATTATAGTAACATTGCACAAATATATTTGACTTTATAATATGTTGGTTTCTTGACATTTACTATTTAAATGTTAAAAACAAGGGTCTTTCTATGCAAAAGCTATACAATTTTGAGTGCTTACTAGAAATCTCTTGGAAAACGCACTATGCATGAACTTAAGCGACTTATATAAGCAGCTTCGAAAGTCATTTGCACACATGGAATCAGCCATCCAACCAACAAGCTATAACCAGAGCTACCATTTTGGCCAACGTCGCTTGTTTGCATAAATTTCACGCACATTTCCCATTGCATACTATTCGGGGCAAATGAATTTTGCATAGATTCCACTACACACTGTATATGTATGTGTAGGGATGCATTAATGGATTCCATTTTATAATTTACAACGATTGCATTTGAATACATAATAGCGAATGGCAAATGTACAATTAAAAGTACTCACCTTTAGGCCGAGTGGAGGTGAGGAAGGTGATTCTCCTCTAGAAAGGGATATAATAGGAGATTCCACTGCCCTGAAAGGAAAAGATAAAAAGGGAAATGAGCTTTGGGAATAGAATAATACGCTAAAAGAATGCTACAGCAAAATAAATAAGTACTTAGGTTACTATAAATAATCAGCTTAAAAAATAGGTAAAAATAAATATTAAAATGTTGCTGAAAATATTTATATATTAAGTAAATTACGTTCTAAATGTTCTCTCTGCACACCAAACTTGTTGAATGCCCGGAGCTAAGACATGGCTTATTGAAGGTCTGACCATTTGCATAATTAATTGTTTATTACTTTGTCATTCGGCGTCAAGTGCAGGCAATCGATGGCATTCTCAGTTAAAGCCCGATTTGAGGGCAAAAGTGAAGCCCGCAGAAATCAGTTGAGATAAATGGCCAATATAATGCGCACAAATTAACATGCCATTCATCTTTTGGCCGGGCCAGTTGAATTGGGAGCAGTTAATGGCAGGAAAAATCTCGGCAAACGAATGTGGTCCGCAATCACTCCTTAAAAACACACACGTTTATTTGCGCACGTGGAGGACAGGCAACACAGGCGGCAACCCGTATATATGATTTAATATAATATCAACCGACGGCAATGCATAATTCATTTTAAGCACCACTTACCGTTATGACGAACGGGCATGTTGGCGATTTAAGAGCGAGTTTAATGCCTTTAATACCTCGTTTTGGGCCCAGAAAGAGGAGCTTCTGCCGTCGCTGACCCTGATTTATGGTGCGTATACTTGATGCGGCCGCTAAACCGCACAAAATGCCTGCCGAACTTCCTGCTGCCATTTAATAAAGCCCACAATAAAACTTCAAAACATGAGCACACACACGGACAGGGGTATTTGCCAACCTGCACAAAGGCCTTTATTAAATTTTATAACATTTCGATGCGTCTGCATTTCAATTGGGCATAAACGGTTTAAGGTTTCCAGTCTGAACACAATTTGGCCCATAAACTTTAGCCGGTTGCCCTGGCTGCCGGTCGAAGTCGAATACTGATATATGTATTCAAACCTAAGGGATAGCCATAGCCAAGCGAACTGGCCTCAGTTTGTGTATCTTAGGCCAGGCACAATTTAATTTATCAAAGTCATAAACTTTTCAGTGGCTAAGCCGCAGAATGCGTCATAAATGGGGATTCGCACAGGCTCAGGCTTGCAGGTTGTTTATTGACTCGAAAATGGTGTTCTGCTGGGCTTTAGTTTTTCGAATTTTAAATAATTATTAAAGCTGAAAGCTTTAAAGAAATGGAAATGTAAAAACCTTACATTTGCCCAAGGGAAGTATGACGTAGGTGACTATCACAACACTTTGTTTGCAATCATAAAAATGAATTCAAAATAAAAAAGGGAGAATTGAGTGACCTTTAATATTTGTTTTTACTGATCAAAGGACACCAACCGGAAGTAAACAAATATGCATAAAATTGTATACCCTCTAACTACCACTCACAGTGGACCACCAAGCTTTCGTTGGGAAATCTGTGAAAATGATTTTAGTGCCGCATGGCACGGCAATTCGATTACTAACCGTTTGATGTCCTGCCAGGCAGCCAGGCAACCAACCAGTCTGTCAGTCTCCCTCTCCAATTAGAGAGTCACTAACGACTCCTTTTAGCTAAAAACCTGAAAAGCGGCCACACACGTCAACAAAAAAAGTGGAAAACACAACCAGTTCCGAAAACAACCGCGGGCTGCAGAAGCGGAGAGGAAAACAAAAATCGAATTTTATGTCGCTTAGTCAAACACAAACCGAAAATCTGTTTATAAATCGCTCAATGTGTGTGGGTCCCTGAGTGTGGTGGCTCATCCCTCTAATTCGACTGGTCTATCGGCTTAGGAAATGCGGTCTTTCCAAGTTTGTGTCACTCAAGCATTATTTGGCCGAAATGGTTAACGAGGAACCCGGCTCTCAAACTGTCGACCAAACACGCATAAAATGCGGCAATAATATTTTTTTTTTTTTGTACTTCAACCTTTTTGTTGCTTTTGGTGAAAGGTAAGGATCGTATGTCTATAATTTATGCAACGCCGCATTTTCATGGCTAACACATACACATACTCGTATGAGCAGAGAGATTTCGAGCGAAGCCGCCTGCCGGAAATCAACAAAAATTTATTGAGCATAAATTCAAATCCAAGCGATGCTCTCTTCGCCTGCCCCCCACTGTTTCTTTGTTTATGAAAGCGTTTTATGGGCTTTTAAATTGATTTTATTTCCATTCGTACTCTCATTCATTCGCCTCTGATTTCCTTAAAGCTTCCGCTTGCCACAAGTCCTTTGGCTGTTCCCAATTACATTGGAAACACAAATGAAGAGATGGAACTTCTGGAGTGGGAAAACACAGCTGTTGCTTTTGTCCAACACCCCCTCCCGCCGGATGGTGATTGGCAGGCCGTGGTGATTGGAGTATGGATGACCTCCTCCCAGGTGCCTTCTCCCTGCCTACTCAAAATGATCCAAGACCCCCGTCTTCAAAGCCATCTTCGGCATGTTGTCATTTCCCCCATGCTCGACATTCAATGGACATTCAATGAAATGTTTTATTATTGACAAAGACACAGACTCTCGCCATCTTATCGCACTTTTCCCACCCACACAAGTTTCCTGCGCAATTTTCCAACACACAGAGGAAAACCTGAAAAATGTTTCTATACTGATCTTGAAGTAGTAATAGCTTGATGTGCATAAAGTATAGTTTTGAAGTTTAAACTGCATAATTGTCATTTTGGCAAAGCCATTACTTTGCTCTTAGCTCTATAAAGACAATATCTATGTCATGAAACTTGAGATGCATTTTCCCACCCAATTTTTTTTGACATTTCTGCGATACATTTTCTACGCTATTAAGCATATTTAATGGCGGGTTTAATGCCAACTTTCTTAATATTTTTTTCTCAGTACTTCCAGGATTCCTTCACGTTTTCCCCTGACCATTTAGTTTGTTTCCTTTTGTTCATCGCCCGCCTGTCGCTTTCAGTTCTGCTGCTGCTGTGCACTGAAATTGGGTGCGATAATATCTAATCATTACTTATCATTATTGGCTATGGTCAGGTGGGGGTATCTGCTCCACCCAAGACCCCGAAAATCACTCCTGTTTGCCTTTTTTTCGGCCTGCTAATGGGCGTTCCTTGGGTGTCTGACTCGATTCTCCGGACTGTCGTCGTCCTGCGGCTGTCAGACAATTCCGTTCTCTTTTCTCCCCAAAACCCCCAGCCAGCGATTACTGAACAAATTAAATTAGTGAAAATGCCGAAACGAGGCGGGGGAGTCAGGTGAAGCAATCTAATTGTAGGTGTGGTGTGGGTTCAGGTGAGTGGGTAAGTGGGTAACTGGGTGCGTGTCTGCCCACGTGGGACATATGTTAAATCTGCTAAAAATGCGACCAGGTGTCGACAGCCAATTGGCCTCTGGGGTCCTTGGGCTTCCTTTTCCCATCTTAAACAAGCTAATTAGGTTTAATGGCCAGAGACCATTTAGCTGGTCGCTCCTGGTGCCTGGTGCCTGTCAAATGCCAAAGGGGTTCCCCAAAGGACAATCGTAGGTTAGTGAGGGTTCACAGAGTAGTTGCTGCCGGCAGCACAAGTGCAAGTCTGGAAAAGTTAATTAGTCATGTGCTTTTCGTTGTTTAAATTGACCTGTCATATGAGGAATTCCCATTAAAACTAAATGTCAGACCTAAAATACGAATTAACCATTAACTATTTAAATGTATGAAATAGAATAGAAATATCATTTAAAATAATATCTGGAAGGAAATCGGCTACAAGAGCTCAACTAAAGTATTTAGAACTAAACATAAAAAAGATCCCGACCTTTCTTCTAATTTGAAAAAGTTTCATGCCAAACAAACCATTTAACATGTTATAGAACATATCTTGGTTCTTTAGTATTGTTTTATTACAAAATTAAAACTCAGCATTTACATGAGTAATAAAACTTTACATACTTCATGGGTTTCATGAATGGCTAAGTAGAAAACCAGGCAGCGAAAAGCTTTTTGCTTAGGAAAGCTTTGATAGAACAAAATTCAAATGCCAACCAAAAATAACAAAGGAGAATAGACAAGCCGCTAGACATTCGATGTGAAATTCCTGCATGTAATCTAAATACATTACCCTACATCCTTGAGCAGCTCACCCTCGAGACCTCGACATAGACCCCTTGCAAGGGACCCAAGGTGAATCGATCAAACGATGTTTTTGGCATGGCAGCCAGTCAAATCAACAAAGTCTGAATTAAAGCAGGTCAGCAAACTGACAGCCGGAGTGCAGGAATTTCTGAGTTGTCAGAGTCACAACAACCCCAGAATGAGTGCCAACAAAATCTTCCTGCGCTACTATCCGCCAGGTGGGAAAGGTCTATAAACCAAGTGCCTAATAGATAATCATTTTCTTTGGGTTATCCTAGGGCTGGCTATTAATTATCGAACAACGAGGGGCAATGAACGACTGCGACACTTCGATCTACTTGACCTAGATTCAAAGTATTTAGAGTTTTCAATACGATATTGAATTTCCCTTCTAAAGATGTAATTTTTCTGCAGAACCAACATAGAACCTCTAGCGGACAAGATCCTATTGCAAACATTAGCCGAGGCGGATGAGGACCAATTACCTACGAGTTCGGACAAGGCTTCCCCACCACGCCCTGTCAGCGGAAGTGTATCCAGATCTCAGAACACCTTCAGTGCCCTAAAGCAGGCCCTGGAAAAACTTCAGAAGAAACTTCGTGAGCCTGTGAAGAAGAAATTCTATCTGCACAAGTGCCACAATTCGCACATCCTGCCGCTGACCAATGTGTCCTTCGATCGGAGTGGAGAACGCTGTCTAACAGGCAGCTATGATCGCACCTGCCATGTGATCAACACCCAAACAGCTCAGGTGGAACATATCCTCAACGGCCACGATAACGTGGTGTTCTCCGTGGGCTTCAATCTTCCTCATTGGTAGGTGAACTCATCAAACATATTGTGCAACATGGCGTATGAGCAATATAATTTCCTAGCGACAAGATAGTGACAGGATCCTTTGATGGCACTGCCAAAGTTTGGTCCGCCGGAAGTGGCCAATGCTTGGCCACTTTTTATGGACACACTGCTGAGTTGGTTGCCGCTGAATTTGATCCTCTGCATGGAAGTTCCATAGTCACTGCCTCATTGGATGGAACAGCAAGGATTTACGATGTGGAAACGTCTCATGAACTGCAGCAACTGAGCTTCCATGGAGCGGAGGTTATTGCTGCTCGATTTAATCGCGATGGTCAGATGCTGCTCACTGGATCATTCGACCACACAGCAGCCATATGGGATGTGAGGAGCAAGAGGTGGGTAAGAATCTTAATTCTGAAAGATCACTATAACAAAACCCTCGTACAGTCTCGGCCATCAGTTGCGTGGCCATAGTGCCGAGCTGTCCAATTGCGTATGGAACTTCAGTGGGTCCCTGATTGCCACTGGCTCCTTGGATAGCTCAGCGAGGATCTGGGACATCCGAAAGCTGGATCAGGAACTATATTTGTCCGCCAAGCACAGTGAAGAGGTGCTGGACGTGAGCTTTGATGCAGCAGGCAAACTTTTGGCCACCTGCAGCAGCGATTGCACGGCAAGGGTATGGGAATTAAAAGGATCTTCGGAGTTAGAAATGCTCTCCCTGATGGCTGGACATTCGGATGAGGTGTCCAAGGTGTGCTTCAGTCCCAGTGGCTGCATGCTGCTGACGGCCTCTGCTGATAACACGGCACGCTTGTGGCTCACAGAAACCGGACAGTGTTCCCAAGTTCTTGCCGGCCATGAGGGAGAAGTATTCAGTTGCGCCTACAGCTATACAGGAGATGCGATCCTGACCGCCTCCAAGGACAACACTTGTCGTTTCTGGAGATGATACGACTGGTACACTGTGCAGCTGAACGATGGATCCATTGACTGATTAAAAGTTTGGGTTTTTGTTTTTTATATCAACATTTACTACAAACTCGAGCGTAATTTTGCTTTTCTCTCTTAAGATTTTCATCATCAACTTGCTTCTTATAAATTAATAGTTTATAGTTTTCATTCTCGTTTCTTTAAGATCGGACATTATTGTGGATTTGCTTTTGTTTTGCTTCGCTTACTTTAGGTTTTAGGTATTACTTTTTCGTTTCCGTACATAGATAGTTACAGGTTTGTTTGCTAGTTTGGTTTTCTTTTACCATTTTTTCTGTTTTCTTTTAAACATTTTTTTGTTTTTTACTTTACCTTATTAAGTTTCGCTTCAGGCTTGGCGACACATCTTCTCATATACATATAAAAGGTGAACAAAAAGTGTTTTCAGTAACAAACATTTTACAACTTACAAAAGTCCGCATTCGGAATCAATAGTTAATACATGGTTTTTTGAATATGAAATAAAAAGGTTCTTGTACACAAATATTTGAACGAGGAAATCTCGCGCTTTCAACTGTCCTCCGTTTTTAATTACATTATTTTTCCACGTTTTCAAAAAGTTTTTCTGGCGGTTGTACTGGTGATTGCTGATTGATGAGGAGTGACGGAACGATAGGGCAAACAGAAGGCTAACATTCAAATAGATAGTTGGGTCCTTCAGAGGGATCTGATCGGAGTAATCTTTTGGGTGTGATGCTTTCTCTGGCTGAAAAGCTATCCTCTGATTCCGATCCGATTTCGTGTTCTCTGAGGTCTGCTCAGGTACGCTCTGTTCTAGATCTCTCCTATATCTTAGAGTTGTGTGGGGCTTGGCTGTTCGTTTTGTTGTGTTTAGGACTGCTTTCGTATAAACTATAAATGTATCGTTATTCTTATTATTATCATTATTAGTAGGTTTTTATTTTGTGTTTATCAAAGTAGAAAACTGTTTGGTGTGTGTTCTTGTTTGTTTGCTTCGTTCAAGTTGTGTGGCTCTGCTTTCTGATCTGATCTGGTTGCTGCATTTGCTTAACTGGTTTTGTTTAGTGTTTCGACTGCAACCTAATGCGTTGGACTCTGCAAGAATAACAAATATCTCGATTATTGACCATGATGGACAGCCGATGGGTTAGAACATTTTTACACAGGATGCAGGCAGACTTGCGGCTGAAGCGGAGGCAGAAACGGAAACGGAAGCGAGTTGAAAAGAGATGAAACATGCAGGAACTGTCAAGTCTTGAAACAAAAGAAACGAAAAAAAGCGAAACAGAATGGAGAAGGGGATTCGATGATGAAGGGGCGGGCGAGACAAGCAACATAATGAATTATCGCCTTACATTTAGAGTATGTGAAGCATAGGGTGTTTAGTTATCTTTGTTCTCTTGCTGGTTGGTTGGTTGTTGGTTGGTTTTAAAATGAACAATTAGCATTACAAAATTCATATATCATCATATGCATACAGCTAGAAAAAAGAAAGAGAATAGGTGGCCATGATTAGAGTTTACGAGACATAGGCGAGGGGAAGCCCAACTAAAAACATGGGACGATAACAGTGATTAATGGTGACGATCGAATGAAACTGTGATAGTGATAGCACAATCATTACCAAATCCTCAGGTGTCGATCTACTGATTGAATCAGAAACAAAACAAGGCAATTTCAAAAGCTAAAATGACCAAAAAACGGTGCTATGCAAGCGATAAAAATATGAGTGTTAGCATTGGCGAAAGCGCAGCAAACCGAGTTATAGATTATAGAACAGATTTCGTACTTCACATGGTCGATCCGGAAACTCTTGCTTGAATGTGCGCTCGATAACGTGATATCTGCAAAGGTAAACACCACTGATTAGCAATCGCCGGACATTATTTTTACAAATGATCCACTCACTTGGACTGCAGACCGCCTCCGGGTGGAAGACCTTCGATGTCGTCTCTGTTCTGCAGGCACTTCAGCAGATCCACGTAGTCGGTTATCTTGCTAGACTCTATTTCGTCTGCAACAATATCAGAGAGAAGTTAGAAGTTAGTTCTAGGTTGGCTAAGATCTAAAGACTTTGCTTAAGGGACTTTTATAAATAAATATTTATGTACATAAATGTTTTATAAAGAAATACGAATTACATAGTTAAGCTACATTAAAGCAAATGCAATATATAGATAAGAACTCTGTTATAAAATATCAACTTAAATGGGAAATGTGAGCCATCTCAAGCGGTTTTTAAACAAGGGTATATAATAAACTTGATGCAGGTCGATGGGTAGAAATAGCTGGAGGAAACTGGTCTACTTTTTGCCTAATTATTAAACTAGTTTTCGAGAGTAAAACAAAGATTTCTTTTATCAAAATTGTACTGATGGTCAACACTCAACTAAAATAAAACTAAAAAGCTTTGAATTAATTAGATTTATAAACACAAAGATAAAAAAAGAACTCCTAAGCAAGGGAATGAATTGAATCTTTGTACGAATTGCATATAAAATTTCAAGTGATTTTGTTGTTCAATTTTGTACTGTGGCTGACGGGGGCATGCAACTTCGATTATCTGCTGGATTGCGTGGATCAGTTTTTACAATTAATACACAGATAACAGCTTATTGGAGGCGGGTGTATGCAAAACAAAACAAAACAAAGTCAAACCAATCAATCGATAAGATAAACGATAACGAAATGACAAAGTGGCTTTCGAAAATTTACAAACTACAAAATTATAGACGTACCTTATGCTCACTCATCTTAAATTTGAATTGCTTTCTGTTTCTTGTTCTTGCATTGACATTGGCCCATTTGGCTAATTCGCGCTTTGATTTGGCAATAGTGTATTATTAATTCAAGGATTTGTAGTACGAGGCCCGAACAACAACCATAAAACAACGACTGCGAATGGCTAAAATTTTCCTTTTAACAAATTACTTTAGATAAACGTTAGGCATTAGTTGGAACTGGCTCTTAAGAAATCAAAGAAAGTAAGAGTTAAACCAAAAGTAATGATCTGTCGGTGTTTGTTTTTGAAATGAATAAACTATAAGTGACCAAAACTGATTTTCCGATTTGTGAATTGTGAAAATTGAAATGAAAAACGGAAAATGAAAACCAAATGGGAAATGAAAACTGAATCCAATAGAACAGCAGACAAACACTTTTGCTTTGGTTTTCGAATCTTTCATTTAGTTATATTTTTGACTTGCATGTGGCATTGTGGTAATTCATTAATCACTATAAATCTTGTATGTTGGTATGTGGATCGTGTGTGTTTTACACTCTTGGCTCGATCACCAATTCACCAAGGAACCCGGGTACAAACTTGTCGGGGGAGTTACTTAGATTGTGTGAAATGTGTTTGATCGTTTTGGGTAAAGTAATCGTTTGCCTTCGTTAACAACAAGCACAACAGTTGGTGAGCATAAGGTTTACAATTCGGTTTCGTTTAACCTACGTATACGTAACATTCAAAACCCTTTGGCTAGTCTACTCTAGGCTAAGTAATTCGTCTGGACATTGAGTATTTGTCGTCGTTGGTTATTTGCTTAAACTAGGTAATTTGGTAATTGGTTTAGCTACTGCGACCAGTGGTGGGCAATGCATGCTATGGTTCTATTCACTAATTCGCTAATTGTAAATCGTATAAATCGAGCTAAAGTATTTGTCTATATCAACAAGGTCACGTCTGAAGCTCAGCCTCTCAGTAATGGCCGAAATTCACATTGGTTTTACGAATACTGAAGTCGCGAAGAAATTGTTCTCTTTAGAATTTATTGCTTTCTATACTTAATCCATGTAATACGACTACAGTTTATCTGAGCAGTTGCTACTTAATAAAATATATATTCTCATTGCTTTTCAAAGGTATCCTTCAGCTTTGCAGCATATTTACAATCTATCTACAACGAATCTTCTCTGAAGACAATCTCCTATTCGTTTTTGCTTAGAACATAGGTGTTAATTCGCTACTCCTACTAGTTACATCAATTCCAAGTGTTTGTTTTGAGTGTCGATACCTGCGTACGTTAAATATTGCATTTTTTTTTTTGATTGATTTGCATCGTGGCTAGTATCAAATGGGGTATACGTATACCGTAAATCTATATACAAACTGGCTGACGGGTCATTTAACTACTTAGCTCAGGCAGGTTCGTCGATAATTTTTAATATTTAGGTGTTTATGTAAGACTAAAGCTAAATGGGCTGGACTTTCGCATACATGGAACGCTTTTGGCAGTGGCTCTAGCACACACAGGCATGTATACATAATACTATAACTCAGGCACACACACACGGCAGAGGAACTCTGGTCAGCCACACGCACAGCCACCAGATATGACATACTAACACGCTATACAGGTATTTGCTATGCATTAGCGATAGGATATTGGTAGTACGCCCCACACGCCCCCATTTACATATTTATACAGGCGATACACGGTGAAAGCCCTCTCTAAAGGGATAGAACTAAATACTATCTGAAGAATAAATTCTATGAACCTGAGCATAAGTTATGTAATATTCATTTACGTATGTATGACTACCTAAAATACTGCTAAGAATTTGCTATTGCCGCGTAGAAGTTAAATTTAAATACATTTTAAAGTATTTATAAAGATCAAGAGGAAATGAGTCAATCCATATTTTTTTAAATGTAATATCTTAAATTCGCATTGATTGAGCATGAGTATTAGAATATAGCTGAAGATTATCTTCATTTATCCATCTGAGAGAGCTTTCACTGTAGTTTTTAGATGGGTGTGTGCGGGGTTGGTTCTTGGCATTAGTAATGGCAATGGTTTGGTATTCGTTTTGGTATTGTTTTCGTTTTGGAACTACTTTTGGAAGGAACTATTTTGTTGGAATCGATTATTGAACAAAATGAGGCAAATACAAATCTAGAAGGACTTTGGGTCAGGGCTTTCACCCATTCAATGGCTCATGTAAAAGAGCTCATGGGGCTCAAGGTACTGAGTATACGTATTTCGTTTTGATAAAGACACGGAGACGGAGAAGACCACTACGCCATGGATCAACAGTTTACGATTAGTTATAAACAGAGTAGACGACTTAGACAACCTCTTGTGATCTTCTCGATTTGTTTCTCCAGCCGATGCTCAGCCTCTATCGCCTCCTCGGTGGGCTTCGGAGCTCCAGGGAAAGCAATGATGATGATGCTCATGTTATCGCGACTACCCTAAAGTTGTAAATTGTAAAGAAAGTGTTAAAACCTTGTGGATTAACATGGAAATAATGACTCACCTTGTGCAGGCAGGTGTCCACCACTTGGTTGGCGATGCTCACTAGGTCGCTGGTTACCCTTAGCCGCGAGTGAATGAAGCTGCATACATCCTCATTAGTCATCACATCCCATATTCCGTCGCAGGCAAGCACCAAGAACTCATCGCTATCCTGGCGGCTCTGGCAAAATATCTCCGGTTCCGGCGACACCAGCTGCTCGCACTGTCCCTTCTCCTTGACGTTCTTAAAGTCGTAATCCCCGAGAGCTCTCGAAACGGCGAGGGTGCCATTCACTCGCTTTATCATAACACTGCCGCCGGCATTGTGGATGCGCTCCTTTTCCTCTGGCAGAATAGGTTTGTGGTCCTGCGTGGCGAACACCGGAACTCCCTGGCGGCACAAGACTGCCCTGGAGTCCCCGCAATTAGCGATGTACACCTGCGTGAGGCTGACAAAGGCGCATACGGCGGTGGTGCCGCCGCATTTCTCTGTCTCCCGGGTGAATTCTGGCAATTCCCGCATCACCTCATCGATGCGCAGGAAGCCAGTGCGAATTCCCTTCACATGGTCACCGCCAATGAACTCCTCCGTGCTGACGATGCTGTCCAAAAGATGCTTGGCACAGTGCTCCGATACCTTGCATCCGGCATGGCCATCGAAGACGGCAAAGAAGCTCCAGTCCTGCAGGTCATCCCCCAGCCCGGCACGAGCGTAGTAGGCGTCCTCCATCTCTGACCGCCATCCCTGCATCGAGCTGACTCCGAAGAGCAGCTTGTTGCCCTCGCCCTGGTCATTGTGCTTGGCGGTTTTCGGCTTATCCAGGAATCCGCCCATGTCCACTGAACATGCTGTGTGCTGTGTGCCGGGCGGGTGCAATTCGTCCTCCTCTCAGCCAAGACTTGCCTGTGCCAAGGAATGTACGGTCGAAGGCTGAAAGGGTATGAGACTATTAAACGACTGCCAATCAATAAGCAGCCTTGAACTTGAACTCTCTACAAGGGATACAAAACGAGGGTAGGCAAGTTTTTTTCGACGAGAAAATATATTACTACTTCCTTTGATTTTTATACCATAAGATAAAACTGGTTAGTTTATAAAAGTAATTTTATATGACAATCCAAATGTTATAAATCTTAAAATCTTAAATAACGAAAGTCCTAGTCTTCCAGCTTCTTGAAATCAATTTAAGTGCATAAAAACTTCCACGGAAATTGAGTTGACTCACAGTACTTTCAACCAAACATGAAATAACTATTTGAAACATGAAATATACTACTCGACAAAACTACTCATTTAAGAATATTGAAAACTTTCTGTAAATATGATTAAACATGATCTTGTTTATGTGTTTTTTGACCCATTACTGGCTTTTATACTTTTCAAGGGGATTCCCCAAGCATGATTTAAGCTGAGAGACTATATAAGGTACCATATATAAAGAGGTAAAACATGGGAAGTCTAATGTCGAATCAGCTGGCGCTACATAATTAATATATTTATAATACGGACTTTATAGGGCTTCCTTGACGGATTTGTAGTTATTCTGAACACAAATTTTGAATGCAAGGACAGGAAAAAAATAGAAACAGAAACCAAAGGGGCGGGCGGAAGTTCTCGAGGCGGCTTTCCGCCCACGCTTTTCACCGTTATTTCCTTTTTGCCCTTCGTTTCCTTCGCTTTTCCTTTTGGCACATCGATTTATCAAGGACGCGCCTTCGTCCTTCCGCTTGGCCGACTAAATTTAGCACTCGAAAGTGGGCGTAAACTACAGTTAGAGGAAAATGGGGGGAAAATTGCGCGCGACAGCATCCAGAATTTCATATTCCATTCACAAAAAAAGAAAAACAGCGGCAAGAGCAAGTTGGCAGCCCCACTTTTAGAAGGAGACGGGGTAGGGGAAAATTCGGCATGGCCCCGAAAAATGTTGTTAATGAAAACACACTCGCGATTTATGAACTTTGGCGCTGGGAAAACCTTCGCTCTCGTTATTTTCACCTCGCAAATTTTAAGTTTGATGGTCTGCTTCTTCTTGCTGCTCTTCTCTCCGCGTGCGTGTGTGCTGCTTTCCTTAAGTATGTGTTTGTGTGTGCGTCCGTGAGCTGCGTGAGTGTGTGTGGCTGCCGTAAGTAAATTTTAAGAACAAAAAACGATGCTTTTTAGCTTGATTTTCATCGCCTTTTAGCGCTTTTTAGTTTAACCGAACAAACGCGCGATTATTAACACTTTCGCACGATGGCGAGCTGCACTTTTGAGGCGGAAATGAAGTTTTTCTAATATTTTGATTAACAAAGTGACGCACTAGAGCTGGAACACAAATCGATGCTTGTTCGGAACTATCGATGACATCGATTGTTATCAACTATCGAGTAGAAACGCGGTAACGCCATAGATTGGTTGGCAACTCCGCTGGCTTGTAGCATATGCTAGAACCTTCGGAACTGAGAAAAGCGACACCTATAAGTTGTTGGGGGATCTGTTAAATGTAATTTTTCCGTTGAAATAACAGCCACTGTTAAAAAAGGCAAACATTATTCTTTTTTGGAAAATTCGATTTTTAAGTTAAAGCTTGTAATTAACCTTAATCGTAGCATCCTAAGCACCGAATGGGCTTTAAGCTAAAATAATTACTCTTACTTTTTGAAGATATAACAGTATCTTATTATTATTTCGATTATGGTCTTAATGAAAGCGTCAAAACATTAACGTCTTTTGGGATTTCTTTGATAGAAATGTGACTTTTATTTATAATCCTCCATGCTGAAGAGCACATTTTTAATTTTCACCGATAAGAATATTTCTTAGAATTTCGACTGCTTTCAAATAAATTCCTTTGTCAGGCAATTCGCAATTCCCAATGACTGTTAATATTATTTATTTTCTAAGTGAAGATAACACTGATTTAACTTTCTTTAAAATATGGCAAATAATTAATGATGTCAGTTTGGAGATATATATGATCATTTACAATTTTTAGCTGTTTTAAATATTTTACGTTTTATTTTATGAATATCGTAAATCAACGTAGATAACTTAATTCTTTGAGCTATGACTTTTTTGATAGCAGTTAATTGCGATTGTTGTCAAGATAGAAGTTCATGAATGTTCAAATGTTCATTGTATTAGATTATTTGGATGTCACATATGAATAAAGGAAATGACTAATTAATAATAATCAGCACGATCTTGAAGAAAGCTCCTTTTCTTTATAAGAATACAATATTTATTGGCTTAACAATAGATTAGAGGTAGGTAGAGAAAACCCAGGCACTGATATGTCTCACAAAGAGAAATGTATGATTCTTAAAATCTTTTAAATATATTTTTAAGAAATAAATTGATAGTGCTGAATCGATTTTCGGGGGTCCCACTGATACCACTTTTATGACGAGCTTTCGGCACAGCGACATGATAATAAACGCTGAATAAACTCTACACCCGATAATTGCAGGACAATAAATCTTTGAAATCAGTTTTTTTTGGTAAAGTGTACAGTGTGGACAGTATAAAAGCCAAATCTGGGTTTCTGGGCCTCACACTTTTGCCCCGCTCTTCAAGTTATCACTGTGAAAATGTTTCTGAAGGCTGTAATTTTATTCCTGGCCATTGCCACCGTCTACGGATCTGTGGTTCCCAATCCCGTCGAGATTGAAGCGGAGGGCAAGCTAGTCCAAACTCTTATTAAAACTCTGACTAGGCAATCATCGGGCTTATTTAACATTGAATGCGTGGAATACTACTCCCCGATTCTGAAGGGATATGTTGACACGTACTACAAGGACATCCAGGCATGCCAAGACCAGTATGATAATGCCCACTCCGAGATCGACGAAAGCTTTAGGCTCCCCCGCGATGAACTGGCGGTGTCTGTACGGGACACCTGCCTCTCCCTGCTGGCGTGCGATGGAGAGACCCTAAATCTTAGTGCCTTCAACTGCTTGGCCGAAAATGTAAGTGATCTAGTGTTGAAAACGTAGAAGCGTACAGCTCCTTACTTACCCATTTGTCTTTTCTGTCCATTCACAGGGACCTTCTGCATCTAAGATTATTACACAGGATTCCTACAGTGCCAGTGACAACAAAGCCGCCCTGGTCCGTGAATTGTCTGTAATTTTGGAAACTAGAACTCAGTGCCAAAACGAAGCTTACCGCACCTACGAAATTAACCACGACAAGACTACCGATGATATGAGCGCCTGCCTAGCTGATCCCAACTGGGAGTTTCCCACCACCGACTACGCACTCGAGGATCCAGTTTAAAATTCAGATATTAATGTTTCAATCTTTAATTGCTGCAAATTAAAAATGTTGAGTGATTATCATTCTATTTATTGATGTTTTAAGTAAAATTCCATTCGATTTAGTGACCAAACCGAGAGCTTTTAAGGGGATGCCTTAGCTCCATTTAACTTAGATAGGTCTCGCATTCACTCATTATCTAATAAATTCTCTGAACATTGAAGTTGGTATCAGCATTTATTGCAAAACAATAACTTGTAATTAAAAAGATAGTAAATTGCTATTTTTTCTCGTATAAATACAGGTTGAGTTACCAATCACCGCTTAGTTCCCCAGCCAAGATGTTTCTAAGACAATCGAGAATCCTGGTGTTTTGCCTGTTCTTGGGCCTCTCTTTGGCGGTCAAACTACATTTTCCCATTAGGCCAAATGCCCACATCCAGGAGTTGCAGAGTGAGAGCAAAGAACTGGCTGCAGCCCACTCGTATGCTTCCACCAGGTGTTTTCAGATCTACACTCCCATTTTGGCCAACGTTGCAGAGGAGTACGAGATTAACTTTGGGGCTTGCCTTTCGTCCTACGACAACGCGACTGCCCTGGTCAATGGAAAGTACTCGGGAGATCGTCAGGATATCCTGAGATCTGCCAGCATCAGTTGTTCGTATCCCAATTCCAATTGCCAGGTGTGGACATCGGAGGCACAGGATCTGGGCACCGTGGTTTCCCGCCTCGAATGCGCTTCCAGCAATGCTGCGGAGAGCTCCAAGACCTTCTATACCATCTCGGCCAATGCCACGGAGATTGCGGTTAAGATTCAAGAAGAATATCGTACTTTGGATAGCCAGTTGGAAATTTGCACCAAAAACGCAGACCGCACTTACGTGGAGACTACCTCTGACACCTACGAAAAATTGAACGACTGCTTGAAGTACGGACCCTCCAAAACAACACCAGCCGATAGGCTTTTTTAGAAAAATTATTTTCATTTAATGTTGAATAAAGAAAATTCTGGCAATCTAAGTTTGGGATTAAATTTAATTTTTAATTTAATCAGAATTCATTCTGGCAAGGAACTTTAACGATATTAAAATGATAGCTAAGAGCCTGATAGTTCCTCATTGGAGTTGAAGAAACAAATAAAAAGTTAGACCTTTTATGGTTCCTCAACTTCATAGCTTCCATAATAAGAATTGCTGTGCTCTGTTGGCCTTAAAATCTTAATCTCAACAGCTTTTAACTTTTACAGCACCTCCCTAATTTGAAGCACCTTCGATAGGATAGGTGACTTTCTTAGAATCATATGCTTCCTTTGCATTGGCATCTGCATTTCGTAACATTCTAGCTAATAAAGATAGTTCCCAAACTCGCCTTTAAATTTGATAGATACATATTAATCCTGATAGATTTTGTATGAAAATATAATATGATCAAAAACGATTCCATTAGCATTTTACCAACTTTTACGCAATAAATAAGTTTATAAAAATTATAAAATAATATATATAAAATTAGAATTTTGAATTCTTATAAAACAAGAACTTATATTTACGGGATCCTTGTTGTTATTTACGATGCCTTCGGTATTAACATTAAAATCCTTTTACATATTTAAGAAAATTTTGGTTTCAAAAACTTCCAATATTCAATATCAAAACGGATGCGCTTAAAATAATGGCAATATAGTTATGGTCCCGATTAAAAATCAAGAACAGTTTGTATCTCTTGGTCCAAAAGAGCTTGAAGTTTTGATTTCCAAACAATGTAATTTTGTATGTTAGGAATAAGATTAAAATTAGAAACCAATTACCAAAAGCTGATTAACAAGAACATTGGAAACAAGACATTTCCTATAACATGAAGCAATTAGGGTTGGATAGATAAAGACAAGAGGCTCTAGTAATGGGTATAAAAGCGATGGGACTTCCAGCCAATTTATCTAGTTAGAAGTTAACATCTCGAACTTTCGGTAATGTTTTCAAAATCCTCTCTGCTCGCAGTGGTTTTAGCTTTTGGCCTGGTTACTGGCCTAAGAATTTCCGTCAAGTTGAATGGTTCCAAGCTGAAGCTGCCAACTAACCAGAAGATCCTTGGTCTACAGCAGCAGACCGACATGCTGGCTGCTCGGGATCCTAGCAGCTCGAAGTCCTGTTTCGACTACTACATTCCCATTCTCAACGGTGTGGTGGACCAATATGAGCTGGCTTACGCCAAGTGCGAAAAGAACTTTGAGACCGCTAAAGAACTGGTGAAAGAGTCCTTTAACAGCACTCTTTATGGCATCCAGCAGGCTGGTGATAGCGGCTGCAACACCTTCTTCGACTGCTCCTCCATTGTGGACTACGTCCAGGCCTTCGAGTGCTTTGCCAAAGTGGTAAGTTAGCCTTAATCATAGACTACAATGTTGTTTGTTCTTAAAATGAGGTTGTTGGGTCTTGGGAGTTTCCTAGGAACTTGAAAGTTTTCATTGGATAAAAAGCAATAATATATTTCCTTTAGGGAGCTGAGCAATCGAGGATCATGTACCAAGTATCGGCAAATGCCACCGAAGCCGCCACCAACATCAGCATCCACTTCCAGACTTTGGAAACCCAGAAGGAAAGCTGCCAGAATTTGGCAGAAAGGGACTACGTGGAGGGCACTGCTGACGCCTATGTTAATCTGAACTCTTGCCTTTATGGAGGCTCTCTTCCAGAAGATGGAACCACCATCTACTACTGAGAAATATAATATTTTTGACAATAAAATATAATAAATTGAGCCAGAAGATTATGTGCTTTCTGTTTAATCTTGGCAAAAGCAATAGAAGATGGAATTTAGTTTGCCATTTATTGCAAAAACCTTATTAAATAACATTTGGAATAATATATATAATATATTTAATCCAAAGAATCGTCTACATTTAAGACCCCAACTCGAAAAGACCACCCGAAACTTCGAGCCGTATCAGTGCCGAAACCGAAACTATCCAGCTAATTTCCTTTATGTCCGCATTTAACGACAGTCCCACAGAGTTTCACCAGTCTCAGCCGTTTTCCCACAGTTGGAGAGATATGTTCGGCCGATATCTAGGCACCTATCAATGGTGGCTATCCATCCTTTGACCCGTCCTGTCCACACCCAACGAAAAAGTAAAATAGAAACCGAGTGACCTGTGTCGGTGTACAGGTACACGGAAATCAGTTCGCATCTTGTCTTGGCCGGCGATGTTGTTGTAGGCATTCCTTTTGAAGGACTGCCGACACACCCGGACTTTGTTCACAAATTTTGCGCTTAATTAATTGTGAAATATTGGCTGGAAAATCAATTGCAATTGACAATTGCTAGCTGGCCCGCCACAATTGAGTTGTAATCGCAATGGCCAAGTAGGCGTCGAAAGATCGACGAACTCTTGGCTTATTGTGGAGCTGGTTTTCGGCCGACGTTGCTGGAACTACAATTGCCAGTCATGTCTTCATAAATTTCATTGAATTGAACCGCCGCTCGCAGACGGAACTGCAGTTGGAGTTGGAGTTGGACTCCTCAACATGCGCCAAAAACACACAAAAAAAAGAAGGGGGAACAGGGGGCTAGGATATGCTGGAACCTATACCTATTCCGACTATTTCATCTTTTGCCGACGGCGTACGGCTCATGTTGTATGTAGCCTTAAATTGAATCGTTACAAATTTTGTTGCTCGTTATAGCAAGCGTTTTATTGCCCAACCAGTTTTGGCCGCCATGCAAAGCAGTCGAAAGAGACTCGGCAAGCCGGGCATCTCAGGACTGCCTGAGATTATGATCACCGAACCCCGAACCGAACTGAACTCGGCCGAGAACGCCCCCTCGGCAGGGGAAACGGTAGCCCCGGGTTCTACGGGCACAGCGTTTAATAACTTCATTAAATGCCCTTTGACATTTATGCCAGACACACTTATTTATGTGGCACTATCTCCTCGGAGGATCGGTACAGGTAGCCAGGAACCCTATAAATTACATAATCATCAGATAGTGAAACTGTTTACAAGCCGAGACTCGAGACAGGCACACCCACAGTAGCCACACGAAACAGAGGCTACAAGAATAGAAAAGGTCATCAGCTATTCCTATTCCTATACCGATTGATTAGTTACCTTCATTTTTTATTCGGAATTTTACGTGTTTTTATGTGGCTGCCGCGGCCCAAAAGCTAATTGCTCTAATTTCTAGCTAAGACAGTGTTCTGGCCCCTCTAGCTGCTGCCTCTGGAGCCATAAATATTCCCGATCGGAGATCAGTGATCGCAGCTTGCGCCCGCCGATTTTTATCAGGAGTCAGGCCAAAAGTCTGCTCTCCGAATTTGTCGTCGGCCCTTTGGCCAAAACAATGGCCATTTGAATTCGAGTTGGCCCAGAGCCCCCGGCGAAAAAGCCAAAGATTTATTACGTCTAATTCCCTGCAATCTGAAGGGGTTACCTGGGCTGCCTTATCTCCCAGGCACTTGACTTTACAGATACTATTCTGTATACTCGTATATATTTATCAGTAGGTGGCAACTGCTGTCTGGAATCATAATCGCAAAAGTGATAGTACCAACAACCCGAAATGGATCGACTAATTGGAGTTGTTTCTTGGTACTTCTGTTAATTCATAACAATTAGAGGAGATATCAAAAACGAGATTGTCTTGGAATCTTTTTTCATATTCTAAAGAGCATTTTTAAGTCGACTCAATGCATTTCCCACTTCGCGTTCGATCTGCCGCTGTGATTTTTGCGTATTCCGTACGAATGCGAGTCCCCTGAAAGCCGAAAACCCAGAAAGTGATCGATATGCGGCGGCCAGTCGACAGAACTTTGTTATCGTGGCCATTGTGGCATTCGTGGCTGGTCGGATCACAAAATTATTATGTATCTCGGAGCGATTAACAGACGCATTTCAATTTTATTGCGCCAGATCATTATCGGAGCGCGGAGTGGACCTTTTTGTTTGGCTGTCGTTGCTGAGGCTGAAAACTGTGCGACAACAAATCATTAGATCATGATCATGATCACGATCATAACAAAATCATAATAAAATTGAAAACGGAAAACAGAAAACCAAAAACCGAAAAGAAACCCCTGGCCAGGCGATCCACCGATCGGCATCAAAGGCGGCCCGAAATTAACATCGAGGCGCGAAGAGAAACTTTCCTTTCGCCGGACGATGCCAATGATTTCACCCAGTGCCACATATTGGCCAATGCCACAGCGAAGGAGAACGCGACATCGCTAGGAATGCACTGGCAAAAAATCGGAGTAGTCTTCGATATGTGATCTAAGATGGAAGCTATTTCTGATATATTTAAGTTAAAGTTACATTTGTTTTCGAAGTTACTTCCAAAGGATACACTTACTCGAATAGTTTCAGTTTACAAATTTAATAGATAAAACAGATCTTAATCTGAATCTTTTATAACATAATCTAGTCTGAAGAAAAGATATCCACTTTCCCCCTGTGCAACCTCATCATCGCCATCTCTCAACGTAACAGAGACGTGCCATTGCGGGTGGCTTTGGCAATTAGACAACAAGTGCCTGAAAGGTAATAAATGACGGCGGTTAGTTCAAAAGAGCGATCCACTAATCAGATGGCCAAATGCCAGAGAGCCGGATGAAAACCCGTTGAGGAGGTGTGAAAATCGTTTACCGATCGCCGAGAACAACAACGCGGCCATAATGGGCTGCAGTGGAGCGGAGTTTGGCAAATAAATTAATCAGAAGGAAATCGACAAAGGCAAACGAGTTACCCACCGTTGACCGCTAATTCACATATGATTTATTTTATAAATTAGTTAGCCCACTCGGAGATCAAAGCCACCATCGCACTTAGCCCCATTGGCTTGTCAAACAGTCCGCCTGTTTTTCTTTTCTTTTCTGAAATTTGTTTTGTTTTTTATTTTTGATCGCACCGCCTCGAAGACAAAGCACTTCGGAAGCGGCTTCTGAAACCAGAAAACCAGAAAACCCGAAAAAAACGATCGAAACGGTTAAATTTGTTTGAGCAGCGGCAGCGTTTGGTAATGAAACGCTAAGTGGCCAACAGTTGTTTAACCAAGGGCCTATTTACCAATCAGCCGGATTCGCCTGACAAATTGTATGGCCCTCTGCTTGCGGCTTTTCTTCTTGTTTTTAAGCTGATTTTAAATAATCAAAGCCAAGGGTTAATAATTGCATTACCCCTTACTGTCCCCCACTTTCCAAACTCTCTCCTTATCAATTTAAGAATACAACTTTATCGCTTAATCCCCGACTTTTCCAATTATGGCATTGAGAATATGTTTGCCTTCGAAAATGATCTGACTGGCAGCCTTTATAAGGGGGGTGTTAACCACCCGTAGCCTTCTCTTAGTGCTGTGTTTATCCCTTTCGTTCCACCCCTCGGCACAATGAGCTATGATATATGTAATTTTGATAACGAGAGCATTTAGCCGAAGCTATGGTGGTGGGCGGAGGTAGTGATGTGTAGTTTGAGGTTTTAAGAAGTAGCTAATGAAGGTATGATTTAGGGTTGAAACTAAAGAAAGTGCCTCGTATGTTTATGACTTAAACTTTGATTCGTAAAACAACTTTAGGAAAAGTTTACTAAGAAATGATAAAAATTACTTACAATGAGAAGGGAATGTGATAACTTCTAGACATGTTTATAAATCATTATCTTGCACATTTCCAATTTTTTAAATATTCTCCAAAATTCAGAACTTTAAAATATATTCAAAAAATACTTTTAAAATCCAGCTAGAAAGAAGCCAAATTGACAGGCAGAACTTCCTCGGATTCTCTCATAATTTGCTCGCCTAACGAGTTCCCGGACCAAATATCAAACATCAAATCCGGAGAACCCACAAGCCACCCTCGCTTCTCAGAGTTTTCCTGGTGGTGGCTGCCACATCCTCATACCCATCCCCATCCTTCTGTTTAACCGACTCCAATGTTCTGTTCTGCTGGCTGTCGACGCATATTAATCCAATTATCATGCACTGGGCACGAAATCACTTAATCGTTTCGAAATGCGGAAGGCCAGAGGGTGGGAAGGGGAGTTGCACCCAAGTTGTTACATTTGGGTAGCAATTCCGGTTTAGTTGCATTTAGTTACTGCCCTGTGATTATGATTGATGCAAGCTGGGCAACTGTCGCCTTGTGACAGCTTCTAAATTGGTTCTAAATTTGATATTTGGGAAGTTTAGACCACAAAAATATTGTTAAATAATTGTGAGGGTGTGTTGGGAGAGCCTCGGAATTGGATTTTCATTTAAGAATCTGAACTCTTAAATATGTATTAAATATCTGAAAGTCACAGAAAACAGAAAATAGCTATATGTTCCTAATATTTACTTATAACTTCTTTTTAATATGAAATTTTTCGAGAATATTAGGCGAGAAATGTAAAAAATGACTCCCATTAAATCAGCGCTTAATTTTTAATTATTTCTCCTCGAGAACTCGGTTGACCTGCAAGAGAGCCAGAAAATATCGCTTCCACTATCCCACGAGCCTTAAACGAGAGCGAGACAATTTGATTTAATTAAAAAATTATGGGATTACATACATTAATGCTTGTCAAGCAATATATATGCAAATTTCCCACACACACACAGCGACTATGATGAGGGGAAAATGGGAAATCGGGATGACAGGGAGCAGACTGCGGCGAGTGCCCCATATTAAAGAATATTTTATTTGCTTTTATTACACAGCACGCCCTGTTTCACCCCGGTCGAAGGCCAGTTTTCCCGCCCACTTTTCCCTGCCACCTTTCCCGCCTCGCTGCCCGCCT